CTTGGGCAGTAGCTGGGTGAAGGTGAGAGCTGCGGGCTTGGGCAGTAGCTGGGTGAAGGTGAGAGCTGCGGGCTTGGGCAGTAGCTGGGTGAAGGGTGAGTGGAGGGTACGGGAAGGAGGACACAGGCATTGACGGAGTCTCTGTGGGCTGAACTTTTGCTCAGGGGAGGAAGAAGCCACCTCAGGGTTGGTAGGTCCTGCTTCCATCTTGGGCCTTCCCACTTGCTTTGTCTCCCTGTCTCTGAGTGCCTGTTACTTCTGTTCCTCAGCCTAGGTATGCCCCCTGATCTATAAGCATTGCAGCCCCAACCCCTTCTTGCTTTTATGTCTCACCTGCTGGGAGCCCCTTTCACACAGGGTCTGGCTACCACTCTAGGGGCCAATGGCCTGTAGTAACCCTGGCTCCAGTAGCTCCTGCTCTGCTGCCCTGCTGCCCAAGGCCCTTATCACTTGTGTCCTAGGTCCTTTGCTGAGAATATCTTGACTGTCTCTTCCATCTCACCCTTCTGATCCACTGTCCACATGGCACCATGACTAACCTCCAGAAACACCAGATTAGTCTTTTAAAAAGTCAGATTCAGCCGGGAGCTGGTAGCTCATGCCTGTCATCCTAGCTACTCAGAGGGCTGAGATCTGAGGATCAAGTTTCAAAGCTAGCCCAGGCAGGAAAGTCCAGAAATGGAGGTGTGGCTCAAGTGGGAGAATACTAGTCTTGAGCAAAAAAGCCACCTGAGAGTGCAAGGCCCTAAGTTCAAGGCACACACACACACACACACACACACACACACACACACACGGAGTGAGAACTTGCCTACTCTCTTATGGCTCACACAGTTAGGTCCTGCCCACCACTCTGTCCAGCTCTCTTATCTATACAGAACTCCTTGCCTGATTCCTTTCCAGCTGGACAAACTCATTTTCTTCCTTCAAGACTTGGCCAGAAGCCTTGGCCAAAAGTCATTCCTGAGCTTTCCATTCCAGCTTCCTTTGTGCGCCACCTAGTGGGCTGGCCGTTGAGGATGCTTTGTCTCCTCCCCTCTCTGTCTCATGTCTTACCCATTCCTGCAGCCCATTTAGTGCTGTTCATGTGTTGGGACTGAAGAAGACTTAGAGGGACTGGAGCCTACAAACTGGTCAGACCAGTCCTCATGTGTGTGCTTCATGTGTTGTGTGTCTTCTCATCCCTTGCTGATCCAGATCCTTCGTACCTACAATGTCCTGAACATGAAGAACACAACCTGCCAAGACCTTCAGCTTGAGGTGACAGTCACAGGCTATGTGGAGTACACAAGTGAGTATTGGGGCCTGAGGGGTCTGATGTGGGCTGAGCAGCCTCCTAGCCCCTCCCAATGATTTCCTGCCCAGGGGAAGCCAATGAGGACTATGAAGACTATGAGTATGAGGAGTTTCCAGCCGGGGATGACCCAGCTGCCTACATTCAGCCTGTGACACCTTTGCAGCTGTTTGAGGGACGGAGGAGCCGCCGCAGGAGGGAGGCCCCCAAGGTGGCAGAGGAGCAGGAATCCAAAGTGCAGTATACCGTGTGCATCTGGTAGGCACTGGGGACTGCATGGGTGCTGGGCAGCTCCCAGGCCAGGGCAGGGGTAGGAAGGGCAAGACCCAGTCTGGGGGCTGGGCAACCTGGACAATAGGCCTCATGTCTTGGCAGGCGGAATGGCAAGGAGGGGCTGTCTGGCATGGCCATTGCGGACATCACTCTCCTGAGTGGATTCCACGCCCTGCAGGCTGACCTGGAGAAGGTCTGGTCAGGCATTCAGAACAACCTCATGGGCCTTGTGTCGTCAGGGTGGGAGTGTGTCCTATGCAAGATCCCATGACCTGGGACTCTCTTCTTCCCCACAGCTGACTGCCCTGTCTGACCGTTATGTGAGTCACTTTGAGACGAATGGGCCCCATGTCCTACTTTACTTTGACTCGGTGAGTGAGGAGAGAAGTGAGGAGGGGAGGGAACCGTGGAGCAGGGGTCCTAAGCGTGTAGAGTCCCATTCAGGATTCCTGAGATTTCTCAGGAGACAGCTGTGCCACGTGACCAGGGTTCTTGATATTAGGACAAGAATGAGCCCACATGAGCCACAACAGAGCTAGGCGCTCTCCTTATATTATGGGGAGCATCTTAGCAGTGGAGAGGATGAGGCTTGCAGAAGGGCAGTTTGAAGACAGGCCGAGGCCCTTGAAAGACCTTCCGATTTCTGAAACAATCCTAATGCAAGGTACTGAAAGTTCAGCTTGGGACACATCAGCCTGGAATGCTTGGTTAGAAGCCAGGAGCAGGGGATGGGTTGTCACTCAAGGGGCACAGAGGAGAGAAAACCATGTCCCTCTGCGGAGGGCCTAGGACAAGGACACCATCTTGGCAAGGAAGTCATCAGAGACCTTGCTTAGCGTTTTGATGTCAGGAAGGTACCAGAATGTGAAGGACACAGAAGATAAGATTAGTGGCAACCAATCAAACAGGCCAAGGAAAGGCAATCAGTGGCCTGTGAGCTGGGGAGTGGGTCCCTGACTCCCCCTCCCCTCTTGCCAGGTCCCTACCTCCCGGGAGTGTGTGGGCTTTGGAGCTGTGCAAGAGGTGGCTGTGGGACTAGTTCAGCCTGCCAGTGCAACTCTGTATGACTACTACAGCCCAGGTGAGCCCCAGATATGCCCTGGCATCCAGGGACGGCTGCAGTAAGTGCAGTCTTCCATGGCGTCAGGAATTGGCGCAGTGAAGGGTGGCCGGGAGTCTTGGCGCTCAAGGGACAGGGAGGCAGAGAGGAAGGGTATTGCCCTAAATTTTCTCTTCTCTCTCTCTGCCTTTCTCTAGAGCACAAATGTTCTGTGTTTTATGGCGCACCAAGTAAGAGCAAACTCCTGTCCACCTTATGCTCTGCTGACGTCTGCCAGTGTGCTGAGGGTGAGATGCAAGGCCTCGGGTAGGACTTGGGAGGCTGGGCTATGGGGGGCCACCCACCGTCTCAACCGGGCTCTCCGCCTCAGGGAAGTGCCCTCGACAGCGCCGTGCCCTGGAGCGAGGGCTGCAGGACCAGGATGGTTACAGGATGAAGTTTGCCTGCTATTATCCCAGAGTGGACTATGGTTAGTCTTTTCCTCGGGCTTGGTCCTACCCTCCTCTCCGCTCAGCTGGCTTCAGCTCTTCATGTTGCCTATTCCTCCCACGAGCCTATCTGTGGTCTCGTCTCTTTGGCCCTGACTTCTAGCCTTCTTAGTCTTGTAGTCAGTCACCAACTTCCCTTTCTGCACCCCCTCCCAGCCTTCCAGGTTCAGGTGCTTCGAGAAGATGGCAGAGCTGCTTTCCGCCTCTTTGAGACCAAGATCATTCAAGTCCTGCACTTCAGTAAGAAGGGCCCAGGGCCACAAGTCTGAACACAAATCCCCTTGCCCTTCGGAGCCTGGGTGCCCAGAAACAGAACTCATGAGCACCTCCCATCAGAAGCAGGGTGGTTAACTATCAGGATCTAGGCTGAACCTCTCACCTTGTTTCTCTCCTAGCCTTCCCTAACTTTTTGACAACTTTTATGCACATTATTCTCTCAGCTAAGGACACCAAGGCCACTGCTGGTCAGACTCGAAACTTCCTAGTTCGGGCCTCTTGCCGCCTTCACTTGGAGCCTCAGAAAGAATACTTGATCATGGGTCTAGATGGGGCCACCAATGACCTCAAGGGAGAGTGAGTTACCTGGCCCCTCCTCAGAAGCTAAGGGCCTCGTACTTTCTGCTCCTGACCCCCGCTAAGCCCCCTTTGTCTTCTTCAGTCCCCAGTACCTGCTAGACTCAAACAGCTGGATTGAGGAGATGCCCTCTGAACGCCTGTGCCGGACCACGCGCCAGCGGGCAGCCTGCGCCCAGCTCAACGACTTCCTCCAGGAGTACAGCACCCAGGGATGCCAGGTGTGAGTGCTACTCAGCTCCTGCCCCAGGCGGACCTGAGCCGGGGAGAGGTGGCCCTTGGCAGTGCTACAGATCTTGGGCCTCTGAATACAGCCCTAGAGTTGGGGCAAATAAAGGCCTTTGATAGCAAAGTGTCAGTGTGTTTCTCAGACTGCAGCAGGCCCCCTAATGCCTGGCCTCCATCCAGATTCTGAGGAGGACGGATGTACGTCAGGTTTGTATAATCTTGGACTCTCAGAGCCTGGGATACCTTCTGGCTAAGCCACTCTCTCGGATGACTCTCTAGAACCAATCCATCGTGGGACCTAGCTTCTGACACCCCAGGACTAGAGTCACCTGGAGGCTCCCCTTCAGTGTGTTCTCCTGCTCCATTACCAGATATCACTAGGCATCATGGCTTTTGGCAAGGTTTGGGCGCAATGGGCGCCTCAGCTCTGTGGCTGTGCAAGCTACTGTCCAGTCCCACACCCCTCACTCTGTCTTTGTGCAGTTGGCAGGTCTGGGGTCTGTTGAGGTCAGTGGAGGCCTGGTCTGTTGAAAGCCTGCTGACAGCTGTTTTTGCTATCAGTGGTATTATGTAACTTCTCCAGAGTTGTGCAACATTCAGGTCTGGTGATATCTTCCTCTGGGCACTGATTTTAAACCAGCCAAAGTCTGTGATGTGTCTTTTAACATCTGGGGGAGGACTGTTGTTTCACTGGTACTAACTCTCCCTACCCTATCTGCCTACCTAGCTTTCCTCCACTTTGGTTGCACCCCTGGATCCTTCAGAGGTGAACTAAAAAATCCATGCAAGGAAATACACTGAGATCAGCCTTGGTGGAAAACTGACAGTTTCCCAATCTGCCATTTAAAAAGCCCATGAGACTGTTTGTCTCCAATAACCAGCAAAAATCTGCAAGTGATAGAGTACCAACCTTGAGCAAAAAAAAAAAAAAAAAAAAAAAACTAAGGGAACCAGCACCCAGGCCTTAAACCTTGCCATTCAGTTATGCAACAGACATCATGACAGTGCCACTCTGTGCTACACCCTGTGCTAGCTGCCAAGGGTACAGCTATTCACTCCAGAGACTCATCACTGAGGGGGACCAGAACAAGGATGGGCTGTCCATCCACTGGGAAAAGGGATGTCTAACTTAGTGAAGGAGAGTGTCAAGAGGTGACTGGCACTCAGGCTTCTGGAGGTAGTGACATCTAATCTGTTCTAAAGAAAGCAGGAGTATGGTGGGTGCTGGTAGCTCAAGCCTAAAATCCTAGCTACTCAGGAGGCTGAGATCTGAGGATCATGGTTCAAAGCCAGCCAGAACAGGAATGTCCTGAGACTCTTATCTCCAATTAACCACCAGAAAACCAGAACTGGTGCTGTGGCTCAAGTGGTAGAGCACTCGCCTTGAGCTGAAGAGCACAGGGACAGTGCCCAGGCCAGAGTTCAAGCCCCACAACTGATGAGAGAGGGGGGAGGAGAGAGAGAGAGAGAGAGAGAGAGAGAGAGCACGTACACAGGAGTAGATTAAAGTCATGTTGAAAAACCAGAAGAGAATATACAGAAGCCATGAACAGGTTAGAATTTGTATTTGGGAGCAAGAAATGGGGATGGTGGGGTAAGCAGAAAACATTTATGAAGGCATTTCTATAAAACACATTGTTTTCCGTGTTATCCCTTCAAGCTGAGGCCCCTCTTCCACGTGACTTTCTCAGTCATCCAGAGCTTCCTGGGCCCATTGGGTCTCTTTCCCCAAGTGCTGATCACCATGGCAGTAGCATAAACACATTTACCCAAACCAGGTATTCAGCTGCAGTGTGGCCAGGCCTGACCTGGGTCTGGGAGGTTGACCAGGAAGAGGATGAATCACTATTGTGCCCAGCTCCCAGAAATCCTTCCCCTCCAGAGGGAAAAAAATAACACATTTGCAATACATTGCAACTTTGTATGAAGACAAAGAGTCTCAAAAAGATTTTTTTAAGAGAAAAAAGGGTGGGCACCAGTGGCTCATGCCTATAATCCTAGCTACTCAGGAGGCTGAAATCTGAGGATTGAGGTTCAAAGCCAGCCTGTGCAGGAAGTCGGTGAGACTCTTATCTCCAATTAGTCACAAAATAGCTAGAAGTGGTGCTGTGGCTCAAGTGGTAGAGTGCAAGCCTGAAGCAAAAGGAGTTCAGGGACAGCGCCCAGGCCCAGAGTTCAAGGCCCAGGACCAGCAAAACATACAAATAAAAAAAAGACTCCTACTCTTCTTTTCTCCCAGGACTGAGCATGAATCCAGACTGAGCCTGGGCCTCTGCTGCCATGAGGACCCCGCTGTTAGCTCATCTAGCAAGGAGAGGGCAGAGCTGGGCCCTCGCCTCAGGCTTGCCAGTGCACAAAGTTCCAAAAGGGAGAGAGAGAACCCCTAAGTATCGGGGTTTATCTACATAGCCTGAGATGGTGAATCTGGAGAACAGCCTAAGATTTCACACCCCTTTTAGGCAGCCTTAGCCTCTCCTCTGCCTCTGTCATGGCTCTTCCCAAGTCCTGCTTCTAGAACCCTCAACCCCAAAAGTGGTCCAGAGAAACCCCATCCTTATGGGCACAATTCCAGAATAAGGCTGGGCCTCTGAGCTGACCGTGGCTATCCAGAAACTTCATGGGGGCTTTGGGAAGGATGACATAATCCATCATTCCACTATCCCACCCTTCCTGGGTGGCCTTGAGCAGGCTGGTTTGAACTTCAGACTTCTTGCTCTCACTTGGCTTTTTCCCTCATGGCTGGTGCTCTACCACTTGAACCACCCTTCTACTTCTTGAGCAGGCGCTCTTCTGCCTGCCCCTGGAAGCACATGGAGCTTCAGAGAGGAGAAGCAACAGAGGAGGAAATGGCCTGCGTTTGTCTCCTATCTCTGGCCTTGGAGCTCAATGAGGTCTCCGTCCTGTTCCTAGGTTCTGTGGAATACCCCTGCATTTGTAAGACAATTCTTATATTTGTTGCAAGCTGGTTCAAGGTGGTCACTTTTCCTTGCAGCCAGGGAGATGCTCCTTGTGGCTTTAGGTAGAACCTGCAGCTTAATCGCCAGCCTGAATCCTAGTTCAGGCTGGGCAGGCCACTCAGGCCTCTTGCCTCAACTTTCTCATTATAAAATGGAGACAATAACAGCATTGCTGGTGAAGAATAGGGCTAGTATAGCAAAAGCACTTAGTTCTGTGGGATGTGCTAAGTACTCCACACTAGAGGAAGGGCCTAGAATTCTTTGTCTTCTGGACAGTTAAGGTTTGTTTGTTTTTTAAAGGCTGGGGAATCAAGCTCAGCCTATGGTAGACAAGCACTCTGCCACTACATCCCCAGCTCTTGTTTTTATCAAGGCTGGATCTCATTACATGGTCTAGGCTAGCTTCAAACTTCTAGTCCTCCTGCTCTTCCTCCTGAGTCCTCAGATTACAGGTATGCACTACTACACTTGAACCGAGTACTGTCCCTTAGCTTTTTCTCTCAAGGCTGGAGCTTTACCACTTGGAGCCACAGCTCCACCTCCAGCTTTTTGGTTGTTAATTGGAGATAAGCGTCTCTTGGACTTTCCTGCTCTAGCTGGCTTTAAACTCTGATCCTCAGATCTCAGTCTCCTGAACAGCTAGGATTACAGGCATGAGCCACTGACACCCAGCTCTGGATACTTTCAATAGTGAAAGGAGCACTATTAATAATTGTACAAGACTACATCTATATTCTGGGGTGCCCCAGGGAAACTGACTATATAGTCACACTCTCTCTGTAAGTAAAAATAATGGAAAATGATCCACATAAATCACTATCTTGTTTTGTCCCTCCCACAGTCCCAGAGGGCATACTAGGCAGCAAAGACCTTTTTTTTTTGGTTGGTCATGGGGCTTGAACTCTGGACTTGGGTGCTGTCCCTCAGCTCTTCAGCTCAAGGCGAGCGCTCTACTGCTTAAGCCACTTCCGGTTTTCTAGTGGTTTATTGGAGATAAAAGTTTCATGGACTTGGACTGGGAAGGTGGCTCAGTGGTAGAGCGCTTGCCTTGCATGCTCAAGGCCCTGGGTTCGATTCCTCAGCACCACATAAGCAAAAAAGAAAAAAGCCGGAAGTGGTGCTGTGGCTCAAGTGGTAGAGTGCTAGCCTTGAGCTGAAGAGCTGAGGGACAGCGCCCAGACCCAGAGTTCAGGCCCCACGACTGGACCCAAAAAAAAAAAAAAGTTCCATGGACTTTTCCTTGCCCGGGCTGGCTTTGAACCATGATCCTCAGATCTCAGCCTCCTGAATAGCTAGGGTTACAGGTGTGAGCCACCGGCGCCTGGCTGCAAAGACCATTTTTTTCTCTTTGGAGACAAAGTCATACCACTAAGTTGGCCCAGGCTGGGGTATGCAGGAGACAGCTACACTGAGGGTGGTCACAGGAGCTTGCATGGTTGACGTGCAGCTGGAAAGCTGATTCTAAGAAAAGGTCAGGGTTTTGTTTTCCTTCCTTTCCTTTTGATGGATGGGTTGGTATCTGAAAGATGGATCCTCAAGGCTAATGAGACTGGTGCCATTCTAGAAATGTGTCATTATGGGGGTGGGCCAGGGGGAAGGCCCCCAAAGAGCCCAGAGAGCAGAATAGCTGGCCAGGGATCAAGAGCCTATAAGTGTTAGTGCCAGCGCCTCTGCGAGGGCCTCCTGCCATGCTGTTTCTTGGGCTTCTGTTGCTGCTGATACTGCTGGCTGGCACCCGCCTGCTATGGGGCCAGTGGAAGCACAGGAACCTCCACCTCCCGCCCCTCGCCCCAGGCTTCCTGCACATCCTGAAGCCCAACCTCCCCCTCTACCTGCTGGGCCTCACTCGGAAACTTGGGCCCATTTACAGGCTCCGTTTGGGGCTGCAAGGTAAGAGCCGGCTTCCTCTCCCCGGCTTACCACTGGTGGCCAGAGGTGGAGATCCCTCTTTGCTGACGCCTATTTCCCCTCTCCCCCAGATGTGGTGGTGCTGAACTCCAAGAGGGCTATTGAGGAAGCTCTGGTCAGAAAGTGGGTAGACTTTGCCGGCCGACCCCAGACACCATCCTGTAAGGGCCTGTGGCTTCTTATGGGTGGGAAGGGCTGAGGCAGAAGAAGATGAAGCCCTTGGGCTTCCTTCTCTTCCCTCCCTCTCTTTCTTCTATTCTTTCTTTTCCTTCCTTTCTTCCTCTTTTGTTCATTTTCTTTTTTCCTCCTTCCTTCCTTTCTTATCTTTCTTTCCTTCCTTCCTTCCTTCCTTTCTTTTTCTTTCTTCTTGTCAGTCATGGGGCTTGAACTCAGAGCCTGGGCACTGTTCTGAGCTCTTTCACTCAAGGCTAGCACTCTATCACTTTGACCCTCAACTCTACTTCCAGTTTTCTGGTGGTTAATTGAAGATAAGAGTCTCACAGACTTTCCTGCCCAGGCTGGCTTTGAACTGTGATCCTCAAATCTCAGCCTCCTGAGTAGCTAGGATTACAGGTGTGAGCCACCAATGCCTGGCTCTCCTTAAGTTACTTTCCATCCTCATCCTCTCCCGCTCAAGTCAAGCTGGTGTCTCAGCAATACCCAGACCTGTCACTAGGAGACTACTCTCTGCTATGGAAGGCCCACAAGAAACTGACCCGTTCTGCCCTGCTGCTGGGGATCCGAGACTCCATGGAGCCGCTGGTGGAGCAGCTGACCCAAGAATTCTGTGAGGTGAGGCTGGGCTCCTATAGCCTGGCTCTCCCCAGGCTCAGCCTCCCCTCTGCTGCACTCCCTCCCTCCCTCCTTCCCAGCCCGCATAGCTCCTGCTCTCCTCCACAGCGAATGAGGGCCCAGGAGGGCCGCCCTGTGGCCATCCAGGAGGAGTTCTCTTTCCTCGCCTGCAGCATCATTTGTGGCCTCACCTTTGGAGACAGGGTCAGAATGGCTCCTTTGACCCTTGAGCCCCTCCTGGCTTTCATCTGGTCCAGAACTGAACATGGACTGTTTTTATCTGACAGGACGAATCCTTTGTAAATGCTGTTTACGGCTGTGTTCAGGATCTGATGAACGCTTGGGACCACTGGTCCGTCCAAATTTTGAACGTGGTCCCCATTCTCAGGGTGAGGAGGTGGAACCGAGAGACCCTTGGGTCCTGGGGGAAGGGTGGGGGTGGAGGAATAGGCCTTCATCAGGCAGCTGACTCATGCTTCTGCCTTAGTTCTTCCCCAACCCAGGTCTCTGGAAGCTGAAGCGGATCATATCAAACAGGGATCACATTGTAGAGCAGCAGCTGAGGTGGCACAAGGTTGGGAACTACATGTGGATCAGGTTCCCCTGAGTCCACCTGTGATGGCAAAACTCCCCATCACTACTAGGCCAGGTTTCCAGAAGCTTCCAGTTCTAGGCCTGTTGCCCCCACCTCCCTTCCCAAGCTGTCCACTCAGCCTGTTGTCTTTCCCGCTATAGGAGAATCTGGTGGCGGGCCAGTGGAAGGACATGACAGGCTACATGCTCCAAAGGATGGGGCAGGTGAAAGGGGATGAGGGCCCTGGAGAGCTCCTGGAAGGGCACGTGCACATGGCCATGGTGGATCTTTTTATCGGCGGTACTGAAACCACAGCAACCACTCTCTCCTGGGCTGTGGCTTTCTTGGTTCATCACCCTGAGGTGGGTCTGGGGGATAGAAGGGCAGAAGGGCCTTTCCTGGCAGCCTGGTCAGGGCTGGGTCTCCTGCCGTGCTGTTGGTGCTGCGCCTGATCTGGGTGGTGGTCACGGAGAGAGGGCGCAAAGGCTCCACCAGGCTGTGGGAGGGAAGTGGCTGGAGGCTGGGTTGCTGTGAATAGGCCTGGGCAGAGCTTGGTCCCTGGACTCCTGGCTTGCCCCCGTCTCCCAGATTCAGCAGCGACTGCAGAATGAGCTAGACCTTGAACTGGGGCCTGGCCCCTTGGGCTCCCATATCCCACACAAGGTCCGCACGCGGCTGCCCTTGCTCAATGCCACCATTGCCGAGGTGCTCCGTCTACGGCCTGTCGTGCCTTTGGCTTTGCCCCACCGCACCATCCGGCCCAGCAGGTGACTGCCAAGGGTTAGGAATGAGGGTTAGGGTTAGGCCTGAGCAGGGTCCCAACCAGCCTCTAACTCCATCTTTCCCTCAGCATCTTGGGCTATGACATCCCTAAGGACACAATCATTATCCCCAACCTCCAAGGTGCAAATCTTGATGAGACGATCTGGGAGCGGCCACAGGAATTCTGGCCTGGTATGCTGGGGGAGCTAGGGATGGGGCAGACATGGAGGTGGAGGTCAGTTCTGTGGTTGCTACAAACCTCCCTGCTCTACCTGCCCACCCACTCACAGACCGCTTCCTGGAGCCTGGCAAGAGCCCCAGGGTACTGACATTCGGTTGTGGGGCCCGCGTGTGCCTGGGAGAGCCACTGGCCCGCTTAGAGCTCTTCGTGGTACTGGCCCGCCTGCTCCAGACTTTCACACTGCTGCCACTTGAGGGCGCCCTGCCCTCGCTGCAGCCCCAGCCCTTCTACACTGTCAACCTCCAGATGCAGCCCTTCCAAGTGCGCCTGCAGCCTCGGGGCCAGGGCCAGTGACTAGCACATGCCTCAGTTTTTCCTTTATTGCACCCGTACCAACCCTTCCCCTCCCCCCTGTAAACATGGTGCTGTGAGATCATGGGCAGAGAAGGCTGCTTCAGGAGGCCGGGTGGTGAAGGCTCCTGGCTCTTCTCTGAGCACGACCCCTCAGTGCTCGGCAGTCATACTGGGGTGCAAGAGAGGTGGGTAGCAGCTCAGCCTCCTCTGGCAGGGGGCTGGTAGCTTCTTGGTCTTAGCTTCATTTCCGTGAAGGGCACTGAGAAGTCGAAGCCCTTCCAGTGGTACCAGCTCACTCCCTGGGAAAGGGATTGGCAAGGGAGAATCAGCACCAGACATCTGGTCTGTCCCCACCCTGCTTGCTCAAAGTGACCTGCCAGGTCCATCAAGCCAGGTGCTGGTGGCTCATGCCTATAATCCTAGCTACTCAGGAGGCTGAGATCTGAGGATTGCAGTTCAAAGCCAGCTCAGGCAGGAAAGTCCATGAGACTCTTATCTCCACTTCATCTCCCCAAACCAGAGGTGGAGCTATGGCTCAAAGTCATATAGCATTAGCCTTTAGCAAAAAGAGCTGAGGGACAGCATTCTAGCCCTGAGTTCAAGCCCCACAGCTGACAAAAAATAAAAAGAAAAAAGAAATCCATCAACCTTCCTGCTCTGCTCATTTCAAAACCCTCAGCTGCAAAGGGTGGAGGGATACTCCTGAGCTGGCCTTTACCACCCAAAAAAATGAACCCTCTTCTCTCTCTCTTTTTTTTTTTTGGGTCCAGTCGTGGGGCCTGAACTCTGGGCCTGGGTGCTGTCCCTCAGCTCTTCAGCTCAAGGCTAGCGCTCTACCACTTGAGCCACAGCGCCACTTCCGGCTTTTTTCTTTTTGCTTATGTGGTGCTGAGGAATCGAACCCAGGGCCTCAGGCATGCAAGGCAAGCGCTCTACCACTGAGCCACCTTCCCAGCCCCGAACCCTCTTCTCAAAGTTAACTGGCAAGGGTGGCATTATTGTCCCATGTCACAGATTTGGCTCTCTGAGCATCTCAGCTATCCTGTCACATGACAGAGCTCCAACCCAGACCCCAGAGCCCCAACTTCCACAGCTCTGCTGCCTCCCTCTGCCTCTCACCTGGTGGTCCACCACACTCCCGTACAGTCCATTGAGGTTGGCATAGTGGCAGTTCCTATACCACCAGGCTCCACGGTAGGAGACCGCACAGGAGATGAGCAGGTTGTTGGGGTCTCGATCACGGGCCGAAAAGACACTGCCACTGTGGTAGCTCATAGAGTCGCCTGGCAGGATGCAGAAAGGAGTGATGAGCACCCCTGCCCCTCCCCCCACCCCCTCCGCCTCCCCCACCCTTTGTGGTCAGGGCCCACTCTCACCTGCAGTGCCATGGTAGCCCTCTAGGTGGAGCCGGTAGTTCTCAGCCGCTGAGTCTACTTGGAAGGAGTCATACTGGGCGAACACCGCCTCATCCCTAGTGCGGAGGTCCACACGCATGGAGTAGTCACCAGACTGTGTGAGGCTGTGTAGGGCTTCGTTGCCTGGAGGAGGGGGCAGATCTCATCAGGATACTGGTGTCCACGTGGTTTCCCAACCCTGCCTGACTCCCCAATCCCTGTGAGGCACTGACCCAGCCAGAACTCTTCAGAGATGTTCCCAAACCCGTGAGCATACTCTTCCCAGTCCCTCCAGAAGTCTGTCTTTCCATTCATGCGGCGCTGGAACACCTGAGGGAAGATGGGGGGGGGGGCAGCGGGCACGGTCAGCCTTGGGTTCTTGAGGTGGCGGCCTCTCCCTTTGCAGACATCTGGGCTTCTCCCCCACCTACCAGCCAGCCGCCCCCATCCGTCTCCATGTCACAGAACACATCCAGGGGCCGCTCGCGGTTGCCGTTGAGGAAGACGGTGGTGGTCCTCGAGGTGCTGGGCCCATTCTGCATCTCCTCCCCGCAGTCCCGGGGGAAAGGGACCCGCAGCCCACCTGGGGAGAGGAGGGTGAAGGGCTGTTCTCTGTCTAAACCTCAGGCTCCTGCTGCCTACCCAAACTCAGGCCCAGCGCCAGGTACCCGTGGTGAAGGAGGTGGACACGGGTGGCGTGAGGCTCTCGCCCCACACGGCCTGGAGCCGAGCATTGTAGAGGGTGGAGGGGTAGAGGCGGAGAAGCCGGTGTGAGGTAACCCCTGCGGGGAGCAGGATCTCCTGTGAACACACAAGGGACAGGTTAGGGGAGGCCCTAGGCATGAAAGGCTTTCTCTAGACTCCATCGAACCTTCCAGCTCATCAGTCCCCACTGGGAGTCCACTCAGGGAGAGGGCCTGGGCAGCAGGGCGGGGTGGGGCACCTGGGTCTGTCCGCCAGGTGTGTCAAAGCTGAGCAGGTAGCCTGTGGGTGAGACTTGGGGTTCGGTCCAAGTGAACAGTGCTGTCCGAGGAGTCACATCCTTGGCCTCCAAGTCCTGGGGGGCCTTCAACCCTTGGAAGTGGGGAGAAAGCGGGAAGAGGTAAAAGGGGGGGAGGCTCATCTTCCTCACACCTCCCCTCCCCACTCCCAGACCCCTGGCAGTACCAGTGGTGAAGGTGATGCTGGCCGGGGAGGTGAAGTTGGGGCCCCGGAGGCCACGCACAGTGGCGGTGTAGTTGATGTGGGTCACCAGGTCACGCAGTGGGTAGTCCACAGCACTGCCAGGCGCTGAGGCCTGGAGTGATGGAGCTGGGAGTGGAGCTGAG